TTCCTCTGCCTCCCAAGTGCTGGGATTAAAGGCATGTGCCACCAGGCCCAGGTCTAAAAATATTTTTTAAAACTATAAAAGCTGGGCTGGAGAGATGGCTCAGTGGTTAAGAACACTGGTTGTTCTTGCAGAAGACCTAGGTTCAAATTCAAGCACCCACATGGCAGCTAACAACTGTCCGTAACTCCAGTCCCAGGGGATCTGACAGCCTCTTCTGACCTCTGCGGACATCGCACGACACGGGTGCACTTACCTACATGCAGGCAATACACGCATACACATAAAAACAAACAAACAAAAAAAACTATAAAAGCTACCCTAAGCAGGGCATGGTGGTACATGCCATTCTAGCACTTGGGAAGTAGAGGCAGGAGGATCAGGAGTTCAAGGCCAGTCTGAGCTACATAACAATTCTAAGGTCAGTCTGGGTTACATGTGACATTGTCTCAAAATCAAACCAAAGCATTACTCTTAAGACAAGGAACTAAGACAGAATATGAGATCTCTAAAGTTTGCCAATGAATAGACCAGAAGGTGGGGATACAAGAACTTTGGAGAACACAGACCTGCTAAATCAAAGACTAAGAAAACTGTCACCTTTGATGTCCTTCTTGTTGCCCTTTTCTCCAAGTTCTATAGACCTTATTTCTATATCAACTGCAATAGCCTTGTAACTGGTTTCTATACTCTCCTCTCGCAATACAGCTTGAGATTTATCTTCCACTTCCAAAAAGAAAGTTCTAGCATAATTCTTCCCCAGTGTACTGAACCAAGGATCAAGAGGTTAATTTTACTCCTAAAGCAATTGTGAAAACGCTTCTCAGTCTTTAAGCTATAGGGAATCTGAGGGACAGACCGTTGGTCCCTCTCAGGGCTTTGGATTTACTGTGTCTGAGGCAGAACAGAAGAATTTCATTTCTGCTGAGTTTCAGGTTGATGTTGATGGTTTCAAAACCACTGGCCTAAAAAAATGACTTCATTAATTGCATGTGATAGTGATAAGATCTAGCCTTAAAATCAGACAAGCAATGTCACTAGCCTGCCCATGATTTAACAGTTGAAAAATAATTTTCTTCTAATTTTACTCCTTCCTTTTGCTCCCTGATTCCCCCCCCCCCCGAAAAGGAACCGAATCTAAGAATTGGTCATATCCTGGTAAAAAATTTTATTTGGTCATATAAAGGGAAGTTGGAGAATAATCAATTCCTCTTCCCAAAAGTCTCAGCATTTCCAGAAAATATTAATAAAAATACAAAATAAATAAAATTGACTTGATGTATATTTTTTAAATACATGTCCAAAATCAAAGCCTAGATATATTTTTTTCAGCCCTTGACATTATGGAGATGTCAATTTTCTCTAAGTCAACCTATTGATTAAACATATTCTAACTAAAATTCCAGCAGACTTTTTTGAAATTGCTAAATTGATTCTAAAATTTCTATCAAAATGCAAAAGACTCAGAGAGCTAGAACTATTTTAGAAAGATTAAGACTGATTTCAAGACTTTCTATCAAACTATAATCATCAAGACTGTGGGGTTTTGCATATACAGACATTTAGAGTGACAGAGAATTCAGAAACAGACACATATATGCGCCAGGCACGGTGGCGCATTCCTTTAATCCCAGAACTCAGGAGGCCCTGTCTCAAAAAGACACACACACACACACACATACACACACACACACATTATTTTTATTACATATATATGCACACACACTGAAACCCACACTGACACATACATATGCATATATATATATTATATATATATATATATATAGTCAAAGAAGCAAGGACATCATATGCAAAAGAATGACCCTCAATTCTTTCTCCCATGATAAAAACTAATTCAAAGTAGATCATAGACATAAATGTACAATAAAACATCTAGAAAATGAAAATCTTTGTGACCTTTGGTTAAGCAACAATTTCTTAGGATACAAAAGCTCAAACTATAAAAGGAAAAAATTGGAAGCTGGAGAGATAGCTCAGCAGTTAAAAAGCATTGGCTACTCTTGCAGAGAACTGGGGTTTACTTCCTAGCACCTACATGGTAGCTAACAACTGTCTGTAAACTCTAGTTCCAGGGAATCAGAATCCTTCTGGCTCACTGTGTGCACTGCATGCATGTGGTGTACTTACATACATGTAGGCAAAACATTCATACACATAAAATAAAAATAAAACAAATTTTTTTAAAAGAAAAGAAGCTGATAAATTGGATTTGTATTTAAAACTTGTACTCTGTAAAAGACTCTACTAAGGAAAGTGAAAAGCATGCCATAGAGAAAACACTTGGACAACATAAAACATGTACCCTGCTATGTACAATAACAGAAAATAAACAATATAAAGTGGAAAAAAGATTCAAACACATGTTTCTTCAAAGAAGATATATAGATGCCTAGTAAGTACATGGAGAGATGCTTAACATCATTAATCACTAGGGAAATGCAAATTAGAAGCATAGGAACTGTGACTATACATGACCAAAATTTGCAAGACTGATCGATCACACCCAGTATGCCAAGTATTAGCATAAAGGTAGACTATCAAGACTCACACATGGAATAACAGTCACTTGTTTCTTCTATATCTTCAGCCTCTTTCAGTTCACTATGAGAAAGTCTTCCTCTAATAAGGATGCTACTTTGGGACCATCTGAAATAGTGATGTCTACAGTCTGTGTCTATATAAACATGGAGATTGTGGGCCTTTCCTGAATTTTAAAGAAGTTAAGAAGTGGCTCTCTGACCACTTTGGCCAAGGCCCTGTGAATGTGGCACTCCAGTGGACTGTGCAGCCCTCTGTGGATTGTGCCATTCAGGCTAAGGCTGTGGTTCTGTTTCTTAAGTCAAATAATCATGGAGAGGTGATAACTGCCTCCTTTGATGGAGAAGCTCATACTGTTCTGCTCCCTCCAGTGAACAGTGCATCATTTGCACCTCATTTTCTTGAAACCGTCTAGCACAAGCTACACTGTGTTAAGTTTTTGAGTAGCCAAACCTTTCAGCTCTTATAAGGCTCATACCTGTACAGACCCTGATAAAAACAAACCAGTAAAAGAGGAAGAAAAAGAAAAGAGAAAGCTCAAAGGATCTCCTCCACAACCTGTACCTTTCTCTCCCACGGGTTCTCCAAAAGACTATGCAGCCTCTAAGTATTGTCTCCTAAGAGACATGGCAAGCCCAAAGAGAAAACTTTCCCTGAAGATTCCAAGAATTCATCAGTAGGCAATTATTTCAGTCATGTGCATACTTCAGTCTCCAAGAGTAAATATTTCTGAATTGCATCAAGCACATAAAGTACAGCCCTAGTTGTGAAAAAAATCATCTACCTTGAAGAACAAGGACACTAAATTCTGACTCAAGAAGAACACTGAAGCTTCATGTTATACAGCTGTACCTGGCCCCAGTATCCTGAAACAAGGCTTCTGTAAGGCTCCTTCAACAAGGTCTGCAGATGAAGTGATAGTTTATGAAAAATACAGATCTTTGGACTGGAGAGATGGCTCAGCAGTTAAGAACACTGATTGTTTTTGCAGAAGACCCGGGTTCGAATCCCAGCACGTACATGGCAACTAACAACTGTCCGTAACTCCAATTCCAGGGGATCCGACAGTCTCTTCTGTTCTCCCTGGGCATTGCACGACACGGGTACACTTACCTACATGCAGGCAATACACGGACACACATAAAATAAAAATAATAAATAAAATATTTTTAAAAAGAAAAATACAGATCCTCACATATCAGGGTCCCTCCTTGACCTCTTCAGACAATATGAAATTGATGGGAAAGCTCTTCTGCTCCTGAATAGTAATATGATAATGAAATATATGGGGTTGAAGCCAGGGCCAGCATTAAAACTTATGTTATCACACTGAAAAAATTAAAGAAGTAAAATATAACTGAAAAATGTGAAAGTTGGCTGGGCATAGTGGTGAACAACTTTAATCCCAGCACCCGGGAAGCAGAGGCAGATCTCTATGAATTCAAGGCCAGCCTGATCTACACAGTGAGTTCTTGTCTCAAAAAGACCAAAAAGAAAAAAAGAAAAATGTGCAAGTTTAGATCAGATACAATTCTCGGGTATACTGAATACATTTTAATTTTTAAATTTACTTTAATTAATTAATTTTAATTTTATGTGAATTAGTGTTTTTTTTTTTTTGGTCTTTTTGAGACAGGGTCTCCCTGTAGCCCCAGCTGTCCTGGAAGAGGTCCACCTGCCTCTGCCTCCTGGCACCACCACGCCTGGCTTGTGTATGAGTGTTTTGTCTGCATGTATGTATGTATGTATGTGTATCCATGTTATATAATGCCCTTGAAGGACAGAAGAGGGCATTGGAACCACTGGAACTGGAGTGAAGAATGGTTGTTAGCTACCATGTGGGTGCTGGAAACCAAATCCAGGTCTGTTGCAAGAGCAGTATGCAATCTTAACTGCAGAGCCACTTAAACATCAGTTTTCAAAATCAAATAGTCTAAGACAACCCAAAGATATACTAACACATGATGGTAGAACATTGTCTCTGTCTTCCATAACTAAACCATTATGTTGCTATAAAAGCAGAAAACTGTATGTACAATAAAAACCCTGTAATTCATACACTGAACAGTCTCAAATCTGAGCCAAGATGCTTCAGGCAGTGTTCACCGGTGTAGTGCAGCAACTTCCTCCCAGACAAAGCCTTCCATCTTAGAGGGAAGCTAGTTAAGACAGGATGTTCCAAGGAGAGGTGAAACATTCCATCCTGCTGGGAAGTTCAAGACAGGGCATATTCTAAAGGAGTGAAACATTCCATCCAGCAGGGAAGCTCCTTAAGCTCAGGAAATAAACAATTCAAAGGCTTCAGTAAATTGTCAAACTGACCATCCCTCCCTAACTGTATATAGGAGGCAAGGGCTACTGAGATACAGTCTCAGACAAGCTGAACTGCCTAAGAAAGGCTCAGGTCAGCAGAGCTGCCTGAGGAAGCAGACAGCAGCTAAACCATCCAGAAAAAACAGTCCAACCTGTCAAGCTGCCTGCAAGTTGTGCAGCGCACTACAGGTTTCCAGCTTTCCAGTTTCTGTGAGCCCATGCTGAGGTAGCCTTTTGGTGGCGTAACTGTGAGTCCTTTTTACTCTTGTAAGTAACCCCTCACACATACTCCTGTAAGGAAACCCAAGAAGCTCATTGATTCACCAAGTTGGACTTTGGTGGTATCCTTGCTTTGGTTTTTTTTTGTTAGTTCCCTATCTGGGGTATTCATGTCTCCCCAAGAGTAGTGTTATACAACTGGCAATTTACAGTGTGATGGCATATGAGGCACAAAGTGAGCATGCCATGTATTCAGAAGCAAGGCTTCAGTGAGGCCACACAAGCAACATAGGCAAGTACTGCCAGAAACACCTTGGGCTCATTATGCCTTTGATTTTGAATGGAATTTTGGTTGTTGAACATTCAAAAACCTTTTACTATCCCTAAATGTTCTGTGACCACTCCCCCGCCAATTTAAAGTTAATAAATAAAAGGAAACTAGGGGGCGCTGGAGAGATGGCTCAGAGGTTAAGAGCACTGACTGCTCTTGCAGAGGACCCAGGTTCAAATCCCAGCACCCACATGGCAGCTACGAACCATCCTTAACTCCAGTTCCAGGGGAATCTGAAGCCCTCTTCTGACCTCCGCAGCATTGCACTACACGGGTGATACA